ACTGAGGAACCCGAATCTGAACCCCCATCCCAACCAGTACCCGAATCCGCATCCGCATCCGCACCAGAAACCGAACGTGACCCCGACCGAGATCAGCTCGCGACCCGAGATTCTGTTGGGCGAGACCCATGCCCAAAAGCTGAACACATCTCCATCCGCATTCCCATCCCCATCAGCATCGGCCTCACCATCCCCCGCCACCCTGAAGCTGCCAATCCTTGCGGCTGGCCCAGGGCCAGGCCCCCATCTCATCCACCATCCCCCGCACCTGCATCGCCTGCACCACCATCCGCAGCATGCCCTTGCCCCCCACCCGCATCTACATTTGCATCACCACAACCTAACCGCTAATCTTCCAGCGCTGGCCCAGAAAACCATCGGCCTGTCCGAGTTCCTGCGTCCGCCGCAGAACGCTCCGCTCTTCCATCCGGTGAAGCTGCCCGGCCGTCGTCCCTTCCCCGCTCCCATCAAGAAGGTGCCGGCCTCGAGGCCCGTGCTGCCGCAGCAGCATCCGCACTTGCATCCCCTCCCCGGCCTCCTGCAGCAGCCCTCCTTGATCGTGAGCCACTACAGGAAGCCGGTGCCGGGTTTGCTCAAGCCGTTCGTCAAGGAAAAGCCCTTCCCGCTGCAACCGCTGGCTGCCTCCGTCCTGCTTTTGGGACAGCCCACTGAACTGGGCGGAGGTTTCGGCCTGGGCCATAAAGGCGAACGACTGAAGGTCAAGGGAAAGACCAAAATTCCAGTACCCTATGTGGATCTGGAACCTCAGGGCTCACTGCAAAACACGGCCTTCTTTAATCATCCGGGAAAGGTGGATCAAAAGTCTTTAGCAAGCTCCATCCCTATTCCCAGCTCAACCACGACCACGCCCCTGATGAAACGTCCACCTGTGAAAGAACCCTCCCAGGAGGAAATCGCCAGTATGCGACCGGCCGTCAATCAGGGTTTCAAGCCCGACACCGTGATCGTGGAAAGTGGTTTCCGACCCATCATGAGAACAGACGGCAGTGGGGTCCAGTTGCCCAAGGAAATCATTGAGCAGGTGGCCCATCGTCGGGAGGACCCGGGAACCGAAATCGACGAGGTAATGGAAACGGACACCCTATTCCTGACAGCTCAACAAGGAGGCAGTGAAACGCAGAGCTTTGAGCCCATGTTTATACCCTCTCCGTTGGACAGTACCAATGCCTCAAAGATATTGAAGGTTAAAATAAAGGAGGTAAGTCCATCGGCCTCAGCCTTGCGGTTGCCCTCGGCAGCTCTGGAGCACGCCCTGCCTGCCGCCTCGGAGTTGAGGAAGCCCACCCTGGACGAGCTCTTTGGCGAGGAGATAAACGAAGAGGAACTGGAACTAGAGACAGCGCCCGAGGGGGACGATGAAGATGTGCCAGAGGAGACCACCAAGAAGTCAGCCCCAACCACTCCAAAAGAGATCCCAAGCAGTGCTACCAAGAAGCCGGAACCCGAACTCCTAGAGGACCTCTTCGGACCCGAAGAAGAAGACATTTACGCTGACGAGATGGAACTTGAAATGGATGACCGCGTGGCGGCTGCTGCGGAGCGGATTGACACCTACTACCTGCCGCCGGACAACCGGAAGGTTCCCCATTCGAGTCTGCCGAGTGGAGCGCTTTACACCTTCGATGGCAAGTCGGTGGTGGACAGCAGCCTGGTGCTGCCGCCCAAATTGGACGCGGGCGACAGTGGAGCGGTCCACCAGCGCCATGCGCAGTATGGGCTTACACCGCTGGAGCAGCTTGTTCGAACCACGCCGCAATTCGGAGCTTACAGGGGAGAGCTGCCACAGGAGTTCCGCGGCACGGAGCCCCAGCCCGTGTCGGAGTACTCACATCCGGCGCCCTTCAGTCGAACCAGCACCACTCCCGGATTTTCCACCAGCAGTGGCAACACCATTTATCCGTCGTACTCCTCATCGCCAGGAGCATCAACATCCACAGCCACAGCCACATCATCAACATCATCATCATCATCATCATCGCCATTCTTGTCCTCATCATCGCTGAGACCCATTTCCACCAAGCTGCAGCTACTGAAGCCAGTGGGCCGACGGGCGTAGGACCTGCAATAGCGAAATTATAAACAAAAAATAGCATTTAACCGAACCGTTTTGGGGTGTACTCTCATAACCACGTTACATTTACTCGTAAACCTGTATTAGCCCGTAGTTTTCTTTTAACAATTATGATGCTCTTAATTTTAAACGAACGCATGAATTTTATTAGCTAAGCTAACCGATTGTGCTTAAGCCGCATTTTAGTCGTTGTGAAATAAAAACCAAGAATTAATCTGAGTTTGATTGAATTTTTATATCGTATTTTATACGAAGTGTATATTTAAATACGTTGAAAAATAATTCAACAATATCAAATTTTTTTTCGACATTTGCTAGTTTGGCGTTTTCATAGTGAATTCTGGCATATTTATTGGGAATATTAAGAGCCAATTTAAATTACCAATCTTAACGAAAGTGAGAACTGTAAATAAGAAATTCTTAAGGTTTTTTAAGAGATTTTCCTATAAACATATATATGTATGGTTCCAAGACCCCAAATTTGTGAACTTCGAATGGTTTACCAACCTCACAAGGACTCCAAAAATGAATCCTCCAGGCATAACTGACATTCTCGAATTGTTGAACTATGAATTAACAGTGTATTTCTTGCAATGCCTGCTGCATCACACGGTCGGTTTGTTGTGGTGGCCAACCCAGCTTATCGGCTACGAATCTTACAGCTACTTGTAATGGTAATATTGGTGTGTGGTGTGGCGTGGTGCTCAGATCGGATCGGTGGTGCTCAGAATTCGCCGCTCTTGCCGTCGCAGGCCACGATCTTGACCTTGTCCACCTTGACGAACTCGTGCACCTCGCGGAACTCGACGTCGTTGAGCATGAGGGTCCAGACATTGTCGCAGAAGCGGTAGGTGTTCAGTTTGCCAGCCTTAAAGGTCACGCGAGCCTTGACCCGCTGGTTGAGGGCGTTGTTGATGCTCTTGTCGAACTGCAGCAGCACCTTGAACGCAAGTCCGGGCGTGATCTGGCCGTACTATGGAACGCAATATGGAATCCCGACAATTACACTGCGTTCTGGTTGGCTGCGGCCATCTTGCGGGCCCATTACTAACCTGAATCAGCTCATCCAGGCTCTCCTGCAAGGTGTTTCCCAGCGTGGTGTTGCGGTACAGTTGGTAGGACATCGTGGCTCCGTTGAATTCGGCCTATCTACAAATTTTCCTGCTAATTTTCGCAGATCTTGACACTGTTCGCTTTCCTTCGGGGGATTCAAATGAGGGGTGGGGGGCGGCTAGGGCTGGAGAAAGTTCGATGCCAACATCGATTTTTCAAAATATCGGTCCTATCGATGTTTGGCAGGGGACTATCGATGTTTATCCATCCATCTCTCTCTTCTTCTGTTATAGCCTGATTCCATTGCCGCGTTAGTGGACTTTTTAAATGTGCCTGATTCCATTGCCGCATTAGCAATTATTTAATGCTACTCCGACATGTGAGTGGCACGAACAGCTGATCTGGGCTTGTTTACTTTTGAATTTTGCCAAATCCAAAATAAATTATTTAAAATTAATGAACTTGAGTGAATTTACTAAACTCTGTAATGCTCAGCAGGACATCCATATTGCGACCGAGCCATTTGCCAATTTGGACGACAATGAAGAGAAGCTGATTGCGTTGTTATGACGGGTTTGCAATGGAGACCACCACAGTTTCTAAAAAGGGCAAGGATCCCTGTATATGTGGGAGTTATTCTATGCCACAGATTCAGCAGTATTTCATTGTGGTACTGCGAGCAGAATTTGCAGCGTGCGCTCTAGGTTTCAGTCATTTTTACACAAAATAGATTTTATATTCAAAAGACATCAAAAATTGCGCCAACCTTGCTTATAGAAAACAGCTGTTTTAGTGGTGGCACGAACAAAATATCGTTAAACATCGGTATTTTCCGGTATTTTTTCTAAAAACGTTCGGGGCGAATTTATAGCCTGATTCCATTGCCGCATTAGTGGACTTTTTAAATGTGCCTGATTCCATTGGCGCATTAGCATTTAGTTAATGCTACTCCGACATGTGAGTGGCACGAACAGCTGATCTGGGCTTGTTTACTTTTGAATTTTAGCAAATCCAAAAGAAATTAATTAAAATTAATGAACATGAGTGAGTTTACTAAACTCTGTAATGCTCAGCAGGACATCCATATTGCGACCGAGACATTTGCCAACTTGAACGACAAAGAAGAGAAGCTGATTGCGTTGTTATGACGGGTTTGCAATGAAGGCCACCACAGTTTCTAAAAAAGGCAAGGATCCCCGTATATGTGGGAGTAATTTTATGCCAAAGATCCAGCAGTAAAGCATTGTGGTACTGCGAGCAGAATTTGCAGCGTGCGCTCTAGGTTTCAGTCATTTTTATACAAAATAGATTTTATATTCAAAAGACATCAAAAATTGCGCCAACCTTGCTTATAGAAAACAGCTGTTGTAGTGGTGGCACGAGCAAAATATCGTTAAACATCGGTATTTTCCAGTATTTTTTCTAAAAACTTTCGGGGCGAATGGTTTTTAATCGCATTTAAAAATCGCATTTATTTTAAATGCGGCATTTAGCCTTATGGGATTCCCTGTGTAAATAAATGCGCATTTGGCTAAATGCGTTTTAATGCGGCAATGGAATCAGGCTATTAATCTTTAATTTTAATAAAACTCGTATATGTTGGAAAACAAGGAAACAATGTAGATTATCCTAATTATCCTTTTAACTTTAATTGTTTCTTTCTATGACAGCAACATGACATTCTCGGAGCTATAGTTTCTATTCATGCAAATTCGCAATTTTATTTTTATTTTTTTTTTTTTCATTTTTCCGGTTCTTCCTATGGTAGGTATACGTCGACCGAACCGCCCCTTCCAAATTATAAAGTACAGGGTTGCGTTTTAAATAACTGTATAAAACAACTTTTGCGTATGGTGTAAATGGACAATTTAATTTTATAAACTAGTGGAATCAGTACAAAGACACGACAGTAAACTTGAAGAATGTTACGCCTTCCGGGTTAATTCGCGTGATAAACGTATCATTTGGCTTAAACAACCCTAAATCGTCGGTGATGTTGAACAAGTCCTTAAAACGAATACAAGCTGGATGAAAATGATTTGTCAAATTAAAATATACTTACAACCACATGATACCCCATACGACTGTTCAGTCCCAGTCTGAACAATGATACCTCGAATGTCTGAGGGCACAGAGGACATGGGCCAAAGCCTCCTTGATTGACGAAGGCTACTGCAAACGAGCTTGTGCCAAAGTCGCTTACCGGAGTTACGGATCGAACCCAAACCTACTCGTCAACCATTATCCAATAGAAAAGATGGATAATACTGTTGGATGTTTGATGTTTGATGTTTACCTGTATATTTCGATCAACCAAAACCATTTTTCCAGGCTTACCCAGCGGGTCCTGATCAATCGCAATTATATCCCGGTTTTGGAGGAGTTTCTTTATTTCCGGTCGCACAGTTCCTAGATCGTTGGTCATAATTAAAGGTGCCGCAAGCACCGACCAAATAGCTAGCTGCAACCGGCTTGCGTCGTAGCTCAAACGAAAGTTTCCCAGGACGAGCTGGAAATAGCGGAAATCAGTCCTTAAGAAATGCGCTACCAGAGGATTAAGCTATCACCATATCCAGATCATTCGAGCGACCAGGGCCAGCGTGCGCTGTCAGAACATCCTGTTTGCTAGCGTAATGCGAGAGTATGTTTGTCACCGATGTAAACGAGTCCTGTACGTCGACAGCAAACCTCCAGAGATTGCAGTGTAAGGCGATCAATGAGTAGTCTGGCTGAAAATAGGGTTGGTGCTCTGAAGGCGGAAGCACGTGAAACATACCTTTGGCTTGTAAAAGGGCCAACTGCACGAGTACACCATGGGACGACCCGTCCGGTTCATGGCCATTCCAAAGGCGGGGTATCCTCGGTCCAAATCCTCTTCACTTGCGTAGCAGCCGTCCATCTTGACGTAGTCAACGCCCCAATTGGCGAAGGTTTGGGCATCCAGCTCAAAGTGTCTTGCAGCCCCAGGCCCCCGGAACATGCACGTCCTCTCTCCCACATCATGGTAAAGTCCGAACTTGAGTCCCAGGAAATGAATCTGTTTGATATATTATGTGAGATTTTGTTATAGAATACAATAGTTTTACTGACGTAATCGCCGAGCACACTCATTCCATTTGGAAAACGATCGAGGCTAGGCACAAGCTCATGTGTGGCGTCATCACGAGAGGCTTCCATCCAACAATCATCAATAATCAAGTATTGATAGCCTGCAGCAGCGTAGCCCTCGGATACCAATAGATCCGCCGTACGCCTGATAAGCGATTCACTATTGGAAGAATATTAGAAAGATAAAATCCGAGAGAGCAAAGGTTATTCACCTGATGCAATCCCTGGGAAAGCGGGCACAGTCCGTCATGCACCGGAACCTTTCAAACGGCATCCAACCCATGGGAGGTACGAGCGCCAGACCGTTATCTAGTCCATATGCAACTCCAAAGGGACGACAACTCCAAGTCAGAAGAAGACCCAGTAGCTTTTGCAGGCTAAAATCCAACATTTAGAGTTAAAAATGAGAACTGTGATGTGGGTGTGAAAATTCGCTTTATTGGTAAGGGGCTGGCGAAACTAATTCAATATAAGTGCACGCAATGTTAGTTAGTAATGCTTTTTTCTTATATATCGTTCTATTTAACGCTTTGGAAATTTACTTGTCAATCTATGATGATTTGATTTAAATACAGTCGTAGTAACTGAGAGAAAGTTAAAAAGTTTTGACTACCTCTGGCTACAATTAAAATAGTCACATTTAATTATAAGTATATTAAGTTAAAATTAAACTATTAAGCAAGGGTAATAAAACAACTTTTAATGTCTGATTTTGGTTATCCCAATTTTAACTCGAACTCGACTAAAACGGCAGGTATTTCGTTAGAAGTCTAATGCAACCCGATTCAGCCCAAAAGCGGGTGAATCTCTAATATCTTCTAATACGAGAACAGATATACATACACAAATTATATAATAATGATTGGCCGTAATGACGTCATCATAATTTATTATAATTATATAAAAAATAAATAATTGTTTTAATTGATAATGCAGATGCAAAGAAAAAACAAAACAAAAATATATACATTTTTATTGGGTCGGCATTTTTAAAAGTATATAAATCTTAAACCACTTCATATTTTGTAGTGGCTTAGTTATTTTTTGGATTGTTGTATCTTGTACTTAAATGTGTGTTTAAATGAAGTGAATCCGGTTCCTATGGCAGCTATATGATATCGTTTTCCGATTTTAATAAAATTAAAAGCGTTATTATTATTTTATTATTATAATTATATAATTATTATTATAATTATTAATTAATCATAAAGAATTTCTAAAAAAAAATTAAAAAATAAAAAAAGTTGAATTTTTTTAAAAAAATTTTTATTTTTAATATTTTTATTGTTGCCATGGGAGCTTTAAGTTATAGTCGTCTAATTTTGATGAAATTTAAACCGTAATTCTGAAATATTTAACCATTACTAAATCTCGAAGAATTAAAAATAAGTTATAATTTTTTTTCCGTTTGTTCCTATGGGAGCCATATGCTATAGTCGTCCGATTTTGTTGAAATTTAAGCCGTATTTCTGAAATATTTAACAATTACTATATCTCGAAGAACTGAAAAAAAATTAAAAAACACCCAAGTTATAATTTTTTTTATTTATGTTGGACCGAATTTCGATCTGCAAATCGCTGCTGAATTGCAACAAAACCGACCCGTTTTTGAAGCGGATGGTGGCTGTTGATGTAAAGTGGGTCACTTACGAAAACTTGAGGCCGGTCGTGGTCGAAGAATGATGATCCGGCCCAGGCGGTGGCTAAGCCACGAGCTCCGAGTCGCTTACTTTGCATCAACCTTACAGCCCAGACATCGCATTTTGTGACTACCACCTATTCCTATCAATGTCGAACAAGAGAGTATTGTGTAAACCGACTGGCTCAGTTTTTTGCAAATAAGGACGAAGGATTTTATGAGAGGGGTATCATGAATCAATTGATTTTAGAGAAAAGCGTTGCTTAATTGAAATAAATCACTTATTTTTAACCATAAAAAAAGCTTTGAATTTCATGAATGGAATGGAGCATTAAAAAATCAAAGAATCATTTCGAGTTTTTAGTTCTTATAAAAATTGAATTTTTTTTTGTAAACGAATTATTATTTTGTTTGACGAATTATTTAAGCCCGGTTTGGTAGGTGTAACTGAATAATAGTAACATCTGAATTAGGTTGGGGCTTATCTCATTATTATAAAAAACAAATCAAGTAAACTACATTAATGACAGCTGTCATTATTCACCAACTTAACATTAATTTGAAATTTCACATCCGAGTTTGAAAATTACTTTTTTTCCAATGATCAGCTAATGACCATGGGTCGCATTATGTACCCTTGACCACTCCAACAAGCCGAGAATCACAACCCCGCCATTTTGGTCCGGAAAGGCACGAACGTTTCCACTTTTAGATTTCTCACTCCCGATCCTCTTCAAGCCACCCACACAGCGATGATGATGGTGAAAGGATGAAATGGCATTTGTTCTTGTGCGCCGCGACTGTGCATTTAATTGAGTTTTTTAATTGACTTTTAACGATACGCGAAATGATCGAAGCTTCGACTGCCCTCAGGGCACCTGGTCGCCGTTTTCGCAGTTTTCCCAGCGACCCGGTCAGCTGTCACGCCCTTTTGGGAAGGTGAGTGATTGATATAAAGTTCAATCTTCACTTACGCCAGTTCAAGAACACAAAACGTCACGAACTCAAAATCTACTGCTATGTTTTTTTATGGTATGATTTTTTCTGCATTAAATGGCAACGGTATTTCAGGTTTTTTTTTCGTCGATTAAGTACCAAACATTTAAATTTTCAAACAAATGTTGAGACAACATGTTTTTAAATGTTGCACAGCATGTTGCGGCAGCATGTTTTTTTTCCGGCAGAAAGTTGCTGCATCATTTTTCGTAATTTATTTGAGAGGGAAAATCTTATTTGACATTGTTTAACATGTGGGGTGTGTCTGCTTTTAGGAGCAAGCATTCCATACGTTTACCCTAGACAACAACCATTAAGCTAAACGAGAACTACGAAAGATGTGAGATCTAAAAGTAAGACGAAAGACGAGAAGACTACAAATGAAGATTAAAGCCGAATGACGAGAACGAGCAAAAAGCGAGAGTTGGCCCTCAGTTTTAAAGCTATCTGCATGAAACTTTCCCAAAGTTGTCTTTATATTGCAGGTAATATATGTGTCGGAACGAGCCGGATTGGACTATAGCATATAGCTCCCATAGGAACAATCGAAAAAATAAATCAAAAAAATTATAACTTAGCTGTTTCTTAATTTTTTTTTTGTTCTTTGACATACAGTATTGGTTAAATATTTCAGAATTACGATTTAAATTTCATCAAAATCGGACGACTATAAAAAATAAACAAAAAAAAATTTTAACTTTGCTGTTTTTTAATTTTTTTTTAGTTCTTCGACAGATAGTGACGGTTAAATATTTTAAAATTACGTTTTAAATTTCATCAAACGACTATATCATATAGCTCCCATAGAAATAGTAAAAATATATAAAATAACTATCTAATAATTGAGCTGCAAATCATCATAGCTTCAAGGTTTTTCAACATATACGCATGTAAATCATGATTTTAATGTTTTAAAAGTATTTAATTCTTGCCGAAGTTATACGGCTGGCCGAATTTTGCTTTCTTTCTTGTTAATAGATTGGACCCGCTGAATCAAATTAAAGGGCATCCACCTTTTCTCTTCAGATGGGGCTCATTTTTAGATTGTTTATTTATAAGTTTTAATTCACAACAATAAAACAAAATATTTAGACTCCAGTTTTGAATACTTCAAATTAAAAAATTTTGATTATTTTCTTTTAACAATAATTTCTGATCACAATGAAATTAATTTAAAAACAATTAATACATCTACACGCGTAGAATTTTGGATTACATTCACCTAATAAACATAATTCAGGGGATTCATGTAGAGGTCCTCTTATGTGACCTCTTAGGTGACCTCTACACGACTAAAAGTAATTATAGAGAAATTTTTAAAAAGTATTTGTTCTTGAACGTAAAACAAAACGGTACATTTATTGTCGAGGAAATAAATTTAGAAATTAAAAAGCTTGAAACAGCTTGAAATAATGCTAGAGTATGACAAATATGATACCCTCGAAGTTGTGGGGAAAAAGTGGAGGATCGGCCTTCGAGAAGCAATATGCAAACTGCAGATAACAGCTAATCAGTTGAAACTGCACGGTCCAAAGTTTTACCCAGAGAATGTGGGTTCTTTCGCGATATTTGAGATAATAACAGATATCTTTAAGGGGAGGACGACGCGGGACAGCAACAGCGCGGGAATCACAGAGGAGGAAGAGGTACATTTCTTTTATGTATCTGTTTTGTTACTTTTTTATTTATTATTACAAATATTTATTATTGATTTATTATTATTTATATTTTCTAATAGTTAAAGAGGAGTAGGCCTTCAGGGGAAAACACACCGTAGCGGATGAATTGACTATATGCCGATTTTGTAATACAATCTTAAAAGGATGCCTTCGAATTTGTCAGGACTCCTCAGCTCTGAGAACGATCGTGTTGCCAAATGACCGTCCAACTTTCCCTTTCCATTTAAAGCTTGAAGAAGCCCAAGCCCACTTTTAAATTCAACTAAATATAGAATTATAGCTCTTTTAAAGCGCTATGTAACAAATCGTATGTAGTCTTTTGTCAGTGCGTTTCCCAGTATTTTATAAAGAAAACAAAACGGTTTCTGGCATTCTAACATATGAATTTCTGGAACAAGCGCCTTTACATATTTAATTTATATTGTGAGCTCTTTTCCTGGCGGTCCAGCCACAACGACTTGTTTTTGAAGATTTTTGATTATATATTTTCCTATAACTTTTTTCAAATACAATTTTTCTGTACCTCCAACGCCAGAAACAAAAGTAATAGATTAAAAAACAAGAAAGAAAGCATACTTCGGCAAGTCGAAGTTTATGTACCCTTACAGTTATTGCAAAATTAAAAAATCTTTAAAACACCTGAATTTTGAATTATATGAGTATCCAATAAAAACCAATGAAGCTATTTTTCGATCGTTCTTATGGCAGCTATATGATATCGTTTTCCCATTTGAATTCTGAATTATTAAACCATTCCAATGAATTAAAAAGAATAAAAAAGTAAATTTTAGAGGGTATTATAATTTTAGTCAGAAGTTTGCACCGCAGTGCAGGAGACATCTCCGACCCTATAAAGTATATACATTCTTGATCAGCATCACTAGGAGAGTCAGTCTAGCCATGTCCGTCTGTCCGACGGTCTTTCCGTCTGTCCCTCCGTTTCTACGCATACTAGTCTCTCAGTTTTAAAAGTTTTCTGCATGAAACTTTACCAAATAGCTGTCTTTATATTTTATATTTAAGTCGGAAAATAAAAAAAATTATAACTTTGCTGTTTTTTAATATTTTTTTAGTTATTATATATATATATATCGGAAAACGATTTTATATAGCTGCATATAGCTGATTTTTATTATAAAAATCATTGAATAACTGTTATTCTTGATTCGTAAATAACAGTTATTTCTGATTTTTATTAAAAAAATTAAAATATACTTTTGATTTTTAAATAAAAATCGAGAAAAATTGTTATGTTACAAATTGTAAAAAAAAATCACAAAACTGTTATTCATTATTAAAAATAAAAAATAAGAGGTATTTCCCAATTTTGTTTATAAAAATCAGAATTAACTATTACGGTCCCTGGTATAAAAAAATAAATATTTGTTCACCTAGGCAGAGTGACAAACGACTAATTTTTCTTTTGTAAGTAAATCAAAAACTGTTCGTAGTTGCTATAAAATAATAATAAATTATTGCGGTCGATGATAAAAGGAACGGTCAAATGTTAAGTGCAACCCCAAATCAGTTTTGAAAGCATAATAAAATTGAATACAATGTTCGAAGCCGGAAAGTGAAATAATGTATAACAAATATTTTTTAGCAAATAAAGGTAAAATCTGCGAACCTTCAAACGTTAGCGGGATAAAGACATACTAAAAATAATGTTTAAATTTAACGTTTAATAGCAAGTGCCTCTTTCTGATCTACAATGTATCCGTCACTAAAAGAGGCCACAAGTGTAGTGTCATAACCCCATAATCAGTGTCTAATTGAATAAAATATTTGTTTTTATTAACATTTTTTTTCTGGAGCCAAACAACTTTTCATTCTATCAGTAATATCGATAGTTTACACAATCGATATCCAGAACAATGTTTTTCCAACCACACTTTTGACAAAAAACATATAATCGAAGAAATTTTTTGAGCTACTTAAAAAGGTTTTTGCACACTTGTCTTTCTTGGACGTCAAAGTGCTGCAGACAGATCAGTTTACTGAACAAGACCCTAAATGATAATCAAAAACAGGGAAACACAAACATTTGAAGTGGCATTTGATAAACCATTAAATGAAACTTAATACAACAAGGACAACCAGGACAACAAGTTTGAGGGATTTTGGTGGTCTTCGAAATCAAACAAAAAACTGTCGAATTTAATTGAAAACGCCAATTCATCATAGGGGATGGCTGAATATTTACAGTGGGCAGACTCCTTCCCCTTTTATGTAATTGAATACCTGCTTCATTTAAGGGTAATCGCATCAGCAAAGGAAGCTAACAAAATTAGCGACAACACATACCAAGATGTGTAGTCTTTTGGGCGCGTGCGCCCGCCACAAGCATCATTATATACTAATTACTCGAGTATTATCAAAATGCATTCAATCGAAAAGCAATAACGAGTAGCAGTTCCTTTCCCGGTCCATTCCGTTTGCACACCGCACTTGGTCCTGAATGGGTTACTCAAATCTGACCGCAAATAACCAAGAACTCACCCCACCCCGCTTCCGCCATCGAGCTGTTCATTCACTGTTGACTTGACTTTCCGGCGCCCATGGCAGTAAGAGCCACTGAATTGGCAATAAAAAGATTATAGCCCGAAGGTGTGAAGTGTAGTGCAGAGAACAGGGAATCGTACCGAGCCAGAATACCCGAGCACCGCACAAAAGACACCCCCAACGGCGAAGCAAGGCGAACATGTGCTGGATTTTATCGGATTTGTTCCCACATCTTACTCGACTTGAGTGAGGCTGGTCGAGTGATTTTTAGGTTGAGTGCGAAGCCATGTTGCTATGTTTTCTGGGCAACCAATCAGCGAAGACAAGCGAGAGTGCATGTCAGCCAATGGCGGGAAATTTCTGTGAGTTCTGCGCCTATAAGTTTAGGATTGACGGCCTTAAGTTCTAAAGTTTTTGTTGTACCTGAAATAATTGTGTTAAAATTAGATAAAATGCATGGCAAAAAAAATAGTACGCCAAATATAGAGTTATGCATGCTTAGAAAAATGTGATCAATTGTATTTAATGTTGTAAAATTTGATGGTAATTTCGAAAAACGATTATATAAGAGAGTACTTTCGTGAGAATAAATTCTATTTTTTACAGAACGTTAAATTAATCATCAAAAATCCAGTTTCAAGAAAAGGAACCATTTATTAATTTTAAGTAATGAAAACCTAAAAAGAGGTATTAAATATTAATATTATGATAAGAATCGTAAACAAGAAAAACAAGAAAAAAATCTCAAAATTCTTTTTAACGACCATATATAATTTAATATATACAATATATGTCTCTAGCATACATGTTTAAAAATATAGTAATTTTTTTGAAATCATATAACATACTACATTTTGAATTAAATACACCTTAATTTTTAAAAATGATTTTCCGATTATTTCTATGGACTTATTGTTTCCATTCCTTAACTTAGTTCCCGCAATAGAAAACAGAATTTTGGCAAAGTTTAATGTAGGCAACAGTTTTTGTAGGAACAGAGATATGTCAGAGATTTGTCCTTCACTACATAACAAACTTTTGACAACAAATGAACAACTCTCTGCACATGTTATATATATCAGTTTTCTTAAAAGGAATTGTAAAATATAAATAACGTGATACTAGAAAATAAAATTCGTTGGTAAAATTAATGTGTTGTTTAGTACTTGTATTACTATTCCTAACAATTCCTTACCTCTTAAGAGGAAAGAGTTCGAGTTTACGTATTATTTTCAAATGATTTAAGTTCTAAACAAGTCGGTATTCTAAACAAATCATACAGATACGGTTCAGACAGAATCACATTTTGGAGGACTGTACCCAATATTTAAAATCCCAAATTCAGCGGAGCAGTTGGCATAGCCGTAAACAATAAACAGGATGCATGCACTTCCCAAAAAAAAATGCGCAATATGCAAGTAGAAGCAACCGTAACCATTTAACGACAAATTTTGTTTACGCACTTGAGAGAAACTCAAAGGTACTCTAGCCAGATTTTGGACTTACCAATGGGAGGAATCGAATGCCAATCCACCACCAGATGCCAACGAGCCACTTTAGTAAGGCGTACGTTTCCACTCCGTGGAACCGAGTGATTCTCGCCGGGGAATTCGGGCGCTATTTAAAGACAGCCCGGAGCGTCCAGATGAGGCACATTCGCTGCTCAACCCTCGAGCCGTTAAGATCCGAAAAACCAAAAAAATAAACGAAGTGAGCAAGTGTCGAAAAACACATAGTTCCCTGTACAAGAAATTATTAAAATGCTTAACATGGAAAGTGCGGGTGTGGGTGCTGCGATGGCGGGTCTGAGCAAATCGCTCACAACGCCCTTCTCCATTAACGACATTCTAACGCGTACAAATCCGGAAACGCGTCGTATGTCCATCGTGGACTCTGAGCCGGACACGGAAAAGTTCAAGCCCTCTGATCGCGAGCGATCCTCCTCCAAATCACCGTCTCTCTGCTGCCGAGATTTCAGCCTTTACAGTCTGCCTCAAGCCAAGGAGACACCACCGAATTCCAGACAAGCCACCAACTATATGCAGTATTATTCGACGCCGGTGGATAATGCTAACCATCACCAGGCAACAGCAATATCGAACTGCAGTGCCGCGGACTATATGCAGCGCAAATTGGCATACTTTGGATCCGCACTCGCCGCTCCTTTGGACATGAGACGCTGCACCAGCAACGATTCCGGTAAGTTATGGAAAGTCAATGCCAATTACAGCTAATGCATTTTGGGAAACCACTTTTATTCTTGGTCTTTTGTGTACGGTACTAATTTTCCATTATTTTTCGTTTACAGACTGCGACACACCGCCGCCTTTAAGCAGTTCGCCCTCAGAATCGCAGCTTTCACATGACGGCAGTGGTTTGAACCGCAAAAAACGGTCGCGTGCCGCCTTTAGCCATGCCCAAGTCTTTGAACTGGAGCGTCGTTTTGCCCAACAGCGCTATTTATCCGGCCCGGAACGCAGCGAGATGGCCAAGAGCTTGCGCCTGACGGAGACCCAGGTGAAGATATGGTTCCAGAACCGTCGCTACAAGACCAAACGTAAGCAGATCCAGCAGCACGAGGCGGCCCTTCTGGGGGCCAGTAAGAGGGTTCCTGTCCAGGTTTTGGTGCGGGACGATGGCAGCACCGCCTACGCCCACATCGCTGCCCCGGGGCCGGGGCGCGGCCTGGATCCCGCCCTGATCAACATCTATCGCCACCAGTTGCAGTTGGCTTACGGAGGTCTGCCGCTGCCCCAGATGCAGATGCCGTTCCCGTACTTTTACCCGCAACACAAGGTGCCGCAGCCCATCCCACCGCCCACTCAGTCGTCCAGTTTTGCGACCGCATCCTCCGCATCCTCGTCACCAGTTCCCCTTCCGGGCGCAGTTCGCGCTCAGCGGACCCCTTGTCCCAGTCCTACTGGCCAGATGGTGAGTGTGGAGAGCGGAGCCGAGAGCATTCACTCGGCGCCGGAGGATGGCGACGAGAATGTGGAGATCGACTAGGTGAAAAAAGCCATATCCCGTATTAAAAGAGTGGTTACGTTCTTGTGATAGCCGTAGAAGTTGTGTTGTAGTCTCTATGTGTAACCAATAGATGCCCAATAGCTTTAGTAGCCTTAAGTGTTAGTTGTACCAATTGAGAGCTAAATAAAATCGTAAATGAAAACTAATTTGTTGTACTTGGAGTTCGGCTGTCTACTGTAAATATTTTCACCAGGTTTTTCCGTATTGGATTTTTGAAAAAATCTATTTAAATTTTTAGTTAAGTGCCATGAAATAATGTTGCACTCAAAAGAGATTACACCTGCTTATAAAACTTTAGGTGATTGATATAATTTAAAGTTTATTGTTAATAATAAATCAATTTTAAAATATATATGTCAAACTATTTTATATCAATTTAACCTTGAAAGCAAAAAACTAATATTAAAACCCTGGTTTTTAAAATCTTTGGCAAGTCGAAATTTATATACATCTGCAGCTATTGCAAAACGTAAGTATTCCTTAAAACATATAAATTGCGAAGTTTATGTTTAAAAACATTGAAGCTAAGTTGATTTTCAGCTTAATTTTTCGATCATGCCTTTTGCAGCTAAATGAAATCTATTTCCGATTATAATCAAATTTAAGGCGTCCAAAAGAATTTAAAAAAAAATTCTCAGTATCTTAAAGAAAAAAAAATTAAAAAAAGCAAGGTTAAAATTTATAAATTCATTTTTCCGATTGTTCGATTGCGTAGAAACAGGCGGACGGTCAGACAGGCATGGCTAGATCGACTCTCCTCGTGATGTTTTTTTAGGTTGTAAAAACTTTATAGGCACTTAAATGTCTCCTTCAGTGCGTTGCAAACTTCTGAATATTTGGGGCTGGCAAGCCAAAGATCAGAGCGGTAGCCCTAAAAGCTGATTATATTACTATGTCCAAAAGATAAAAAATAGAAAAGTTATATTAAAAATTTTTTTTTAATATACCGATTTTTTCTATTGGAGCTCTATAGTTCTGAAATAATTCGATTTCCATTATATCAAAGAACTTAAAAAAATAAAAAAAATAAGAAAGGAAGAAAACTTCGGGGAGCCGAAGCTCATATACCCTTGCAGCTTTTGAAAAAATTAAATATTCTTTATGATGATTCTAATGATTCTTTATGATTTACTTGCGTATATGTCTAAAATATTGAAGCTATGATGATTTGCAGCTTAATTATTCGATAGTTCCTTTGGCAGCTTTATGATATCGTTTGCCGATTTTAATATAATTAAAAGCGTAATTCCGAACTGCCAAATTATTAATTAGTCAAAAAGAATTTATAAAAAAAATTACATAATAAAAGTGAAATTGTTAAAATTTTTTTTTAAATATTTTTATGTTACAGTAGTCCAATTTTGACGAAATATAAACCGTAATTCTGAAATATTTAGCCATAGAACTAAAAAAAAATTAAGAAACCGCAAAGTTATAGTTGTTTTTCATTTATTTTTCCGATTGTTCCTATATGAGCTATATACTATAGTTGTCCAGATCGTTCCGACTTCTGTACTACCTGCAATAGAAAGACAACTTTTGGGAAAGTTTTATGCAGATAGCTTTATAACTGAGATACAAGTTTACGTAGAAACGGACGGACAGACGGTCATAGCTAGATCGACTATCCTATGGATGCTGATCATGAACGTATATACCTTATAGGGTTGCAAACTTCTGACTAAAACTATAATACCTCCTGCAAGGGTATATATGAAAAAAAAACGCGACAGTAGAGAGCTTCGACTATAGCTTAGCAAACAAGTTTCAGGACAAGCCCCTGAAAATAATTTTAGTTTTAAAATTAACATTTATGCTAGTAACTTCTAAAACGATAGTTTAAATAAGACAGACTTTTCTGATTGGTGGGCGTTTGACTGGGCGTGGTCACTAGAATTAGAATCCCAAATCTCTATCTTTTACAGTTTTCGAGATCTCGTTACGTACTTCTTATTTTAAATTCTGTTTTAAGAATTATGTAAGAAAGGATTAAAGTCTTTAACATAATTTTCCTTTATTTACCATTTACCAGACCCATCGGGAGCATTAGAATTCGAGAAAGGGTCACATGCGCGGGTCCATGCGTTGTTTTATACGGGAACTTAAGCCAAATTACTCTAATAAAAACTGAATACTTGTTTAAGGATTCTGAAAACCCCTCCTAATTTAAAGCTGAGAAGTCTAGATTTTTTCATAACAGGGCAAAAAAGGTAATAAATGTAGAGTAGGGGACATTTTTTCGTTTGTTGGCATGGACACGTTTTACTATAAACAAACGACTTTGGAAAATTTGTATCAAAATTTTTGTTTACTATTCGAATACATATTATGCTTTGATAAAAATGTATTGTTGATACAAACTAAAATATTTAATATTTTTAGAATATTTAATAGTATTTTTACATTTTCAACAGTAAGCTGCGATCTTTTTGATGCCACATGACCTAAATTTGCATTAACAGACGGGAGAAGCTTCTCAGAATTAGAATCCCAAATCTCTATCTTTTACAGTTTTCGAGATCTCGTTACGTACTTCTTATTTTAAATTCTGTTTTAAGAATTATGTAAGAAAGGATTAAAGTCTTTAACATAATTTTCCTTTATTTACCATTTACCAGACCCATCGGGAGCATTAGAATTCGAGAAAGGGTCACATGCGCGGGTCCATGCGTTGTTTTATACGGGAACTTAAGCCAACTTACTCTAATAAAAACTGAATACTTGTTTAAGGATTCTGAAAACCCCTCCTAATTTAAAGCTGAGAAGTCTAGATTTTTTCATAACAGGGCAAAAAAGGTAATAAATGTAGAGTAGGGGACATTTTTTCGTTTGTTGGCATGGACACGTTTTACTATAAACAAACGACTTTGGAAAATTTGTATCAAAATTTTTGTTTACTATTCGAATACATATTATGCTTTGATAAAAATGTATTGTTGATACAAACTAAAATATTTAATATTTTTAGAATATTTAATAGTATTTTTACATTTTCAACAGTAAGCTGCGATCTTTTTGATGCCACATGACCTAAATTTGCATTAACAGACGGGAGAAGCTTCTCAGGCTTCTCAGGCTCTTGAGAAATGACAGCGATCGAGCGAAAGAGGGCCTTTAGATTTGTTTTGTTGAAGTGGCTATGCGTGTGGCCGGATCCTTGCGAAAACCAAAAGCCGCTGGTGATAACCGACTATGACGCGCCCACTCAATGTCGACATAGAAGTGCTTCAATGTGTCAGATGGGTCGGGACGGACGTCTGTGACCCACAAACCACTGACTTATACCCGATCGTTTTGCACAAGATCATACCAGGAGGGGGAGGAATGGTTACGAAAACATAGACATGTCCTTATCAGCACAGTTGGTGGCTGACGACATGAAGGACACGCCATTCCAGGCGGCGACAATTCTAACGGCCGGGCGATGTTTATAAACAAACAAACAAATAGAATCACAAACTGACGCCTAGGATTATAAAAGGGACATATGACCAAAAATAATGTAAACGCCCCGTCCACTTTTAACGGAGGCGGTAATCAATAATAATGCTCCTATTTCTTGTAAAACATTTCCTTTCAGTCAGAAGTTTGCAACGCAGAGAAGGAGACATCTACGACCCTAAATAGTATATATATTCTTGATCAGCATCACTAGGAGAGTCGATCTAGCCACGTCCGTCTGTCCGTCCGTTTCTACGCAAACTAGTCCCTCAGTTTTAAAGCCATCTGCATGAAACTTTCCCAAAAGTTGTCTTCCTGTTGCAGTAAGTACATAAGCCGGAACGAACCGGATCGGACGATCCGGTTCGGATCGGAACAAACGGAACATTACAAAAATAAATTTAAAAAAATGTAACTTTTCTATTTTTGGATTTTTTTAAATTCTATTGGAAATAGTAATAATTTGTTAGTTCAGACTTACGATTTTAATTGAATTCAAATCGGAAGACAATATCATATAGCTGCCATTGGAACGATCGATTAATTGAACTGAAAATCATCAATTATCATCAATCATCATCATCAACAAATACGCATAAAACCAAAATGCAAGTGTTTTAAGGAATATTTAATTTTTGCAATGGCTGCAAGGGTATATAAACTTCAACTTGCAGAAGTTTGCTTTCTTTTTTGCTTCACTTAGAAACATTTTTAAAGTTTAAGAAAAAATTATTACTCTCATCGTTTTTTGAGCTTCTTTTTTTAAGCAAGTTGATGAACCTATAATTTTATTTTCTTGGTGGTACGCAAAAATGTTCGTTTGATCTGTTAAAATAAAAATACCAATTCAAACAAGATTGGGTGTTATTATTTGCTTTAGAGATTTTTTAAAAACTACTATTTTTGCTCTTGTCAGTCTGCAACGGCAGTTCAAAGAATTATGGACTTACATGTGAATTGTTCAGAAATTACATGTAAGTCATCCATGGAAACGTCGATTCTTAATTAGAACTGAAAAATTTGTAATATCCATAATCGGGAGCTAATTCGAGCGACAAAACTAATTCATGAAGTCATGTTTAATTCCTTAACTGAGTAGGGGTTATTTTTTTTTAGCAAAGCCCTCGACTTTGGCGGTAATCTTGTTTTTAGTTCTGTTTTCTAGACTTATAACATCTGTGTCCAAAATAATGAGAACTCTTTTATTTGGCGGTAATTTTTCTAAGTGCTAAAAATCTTTGGAAGTGGGACATTGAACGTGCAGGTCTGGTGACTGCCAGCTGAGAAAACAATTCGATCTTGAAGTACATATATTGGTCTTGGGCGCATTCTTAGACTAAAAGCCCGCAGGCATTTTTTGAATTTGGGGCACTAAAATCAAGAGACAGTTGTAATTACTTATGTCAATAATAGTTTAAGCAATGTCGCAATAATTTCCTTTTCAAAAAGAATTCGCTACTTATGATTGAAATTTACTTTTTTTTATACTCTTGCAGAGGGATATATATTTTTTGACATGTTTTTCTAAATTTGTATGGTAGTCCCCAGTCGCTTGGGTTATTATACCTTTTATTAAAGAATTGTGCTTTCTGGGTTTAAGGAAACTATGACAAGGAATATACAAAATCTAATAAAATATTATATAAAACAGAATTCTCTGGACTTAAACAATATTTTTTTTAATACTTAAAAAG